AAAATACAAAAACCCCTGAAAATAAGCCCTAATGCATTTTTTTGACCAAAAATCAATTTAAGACCGTGTCTTATTTTCAGGGAAACACTGGTATTTCTACAAAACAGCACCAACAGTGGCCTGTTCCTGGCATACAAATCTTAAACTGATATACATTAGAATGAACCAAGCATGTAGAATTGTATGTTGATTGTCTTGTACTGTATACTGCAGCACTTGAATAAAATAACTCTTCTAGCAAACATGTACAGCAATATTTGTTGTGATATCTTATTTTCATTTCATTATTTCCTAAAGTATTTATAAGTTTTAGCTAAATTAGGGAACAATGAATATAGAAGTGGAAAGGAGAGTTTTTTTTTCAGTCTTTTCAGAATAGGATTCTCATTTTCATATTTCATATCACCATCCACACCCAGTGATTGAGTTTAGACCCTGAATTTGGATTTTGAATCAAGTAATCTCATTGCCATACAGTGTTAAGTATCCAAGGCCACTATAATCCATAAAATTAAGTACGTACAGCAATATTTGTTGTGATATCTTATTTTCATTTCATTATTTCCTAAAGTATTTATAGGTTTTAGCTAAATTAGGGAACTCTCATTTGATGTACTGAAAAATGAATATAGAAGTGGAAAGGAGAGTTTTTTTTTCAGTCTTTTCAGAATAGGATTCTCATTTTCATATTTCATATCACCATCCACACCCAGTGATTGAGTTTAGACCCTGAATTTGGATTTTGAATCAAGTAATCTCATTGCCATACAGTGTTAAGTATCCAAGGCCACTATAATCCATAAAATTAAGTACATTTGACTTTGCTTTGGACTGCAGCCTGTAGAGCCTGTGTGTTATACCCTATTGTTAGTTCTAACCAGAGCAGATCCATTAAATCAGTGGAACTTTTTTGACTTTGCTTTGGACTGTGGCCTGTAGAGCCTGTGAGTTATACCCTATTGTTCTAAACAGAGCAGATCCATTAAATCAGTGGAACTTGATTAATTGTTGAGTTTTTAATATCAGATTCATTCAACTGGTCTATTCTAGTCAAGATTAGCTCATTGATTTAGCTTTATAAGACTATTGCCAGAGTACGGTTTCTAACCTGCAGAGTATTTAAATTGTATAGATCCAAGAAATAAATAATTATAAGAAGATTGGATAACTGAAGCAAACCATGTGTTACAACAATTATGTTTGGTGGAACACTGCTCTTCTCCAGATCTTAAACATACTCAAGATTGAGAGCTGAGAGAAAAAAACAAACCCCTTAAGTATTTTGTCATATGTCTCCATTCTCAGCATGTAGCCTGTTGCTGTGTTTTTAATGTTATTACCAGTATATGTGAACGTTTTGAACACAGCAGTACCTGTTCTTTTCTTCTTTTTTCAGCTTCTAAAACATTTGTATTCACAGGGAAAGCAAACACTGGATAATAGTACTGGGAAAACTCAATGTTCTATGGTGCTTTTGCTAGAATATGTTTCCATTGTGTGATCTTAGTACAGTAATATGTTAACATAAACCACAAAGATAGTTACAACATAAACTGCCTTCTATAGCACACATATACACATAGAGAGATCATCTTTTTAACAATAAAAATTGCTCTCTTGAGAGTACTGGACAGATTGTTCTAACAGGATATGGATGAACCTGCACCTTGTGGTGTAATTTTAAAAAGTGTACTTTCATGTCTTGTTGTCAGCATCACATTGCATTTTGGGGGAATCTGATATGATGCAGTGGAGTAGCATGGGGGCCCCACAGGGGCGGTTGCCCTAGGTACAAAGTTTTTAGGGTATGCAAAGGAATCCAAGCCTCTGTGGCAAGATGTGTTGGGTTTCTCTCCCTAACCCATCTTCTCCCATGCATAAAGACACCTGCAGTTCAGTTCCCTGGAAATCTCAAGGCAATTAAGTGTGTGTGTGTGTGTGTGTGTGTGTGTGTGAGAGAGAGAGAGAGAGAGAGAGAGAGAGAGAGGGGAAGGGTGGCTTTTTAAGATGCTGTCTAGGTTTGCCATTGCTTTCCTTCTAAGAAGCAGGCGTCTTTGAATTTCATGGCTGTTGTCACCATCTGCAGTGATCATGGAGCCCAAGAAAGTAAACTCTGTCACTGCCTCCATATCTTCCCCTTCTATTTGCCAGGAGGTGATGGGACCAGTGGCCATGATCTTGTTTTTTTTTTATGTTCAGCTTCAGACCATTTTTTGCACTCTTCTCTCTCACCCTCATTAAGAGGTTCTTTAATTCCTCCTCACTTTCTGCCATACTTTTGCATAATCAATGAAGCAGAAGTAGATGTTTTTCTGGAACTCTTTGGCTTTCTCCATAATCCAGCGCTTGTTAGCAATTTGGTCTCTAGTTCCTCTGCCCCTTCGAAATCCAGCTTGTACTTCTGGGAGTTCTCAGTCCACATCCTGCTGAAGCCTGCCTTGGAGAATTTTGAGGATAACCTTGCTAGCGTGTGAAATGAGTGCAATTGTATGGTACAGTAGTTGGAGCATTCTTTGGCACTGCCCTTCTTTGGCATTGAGATATAGACTGATCTTTTCCAGTGGCCACTTCTGAGTTTTCCATTGCTGATGATTTAAAAAAGCATGCTGGTCCTTTGATGTTGGGCTGTGGCACCAGGGTGGGTGACATGACCTTTAGCCTGGTTTGTTCCTTTTTGCACACCACACATAGAATGAGTAAAGTGGTAGGGAAAGCCCCCCCCCCATTCTGTGTTTGCTGTCTCTAGCAAGCACGTCATTGCTAGTGCCACTCTGGGAGCCATTGATGATGATTAAATCCTCTGTGAGCTAGCAAAAATTTAATGCAACTTGCTAGGCACATTGGGCACCTTACTAGTCCCTATACCACCCCATGGCTTGTGTGTAATGTGTTCCAGCAAAAATAGTTCAAATCTTTATTAAATTTGTGCATCCTGCTAGTTCGGTACATAGCCTGGCAGCCATTGATACTGATGATATATCCTGCTAGTTCGGTACACAGCCTGTGTAGATTCAATAAGATTTTGAATTCAAATAATGTAAGATTTCCTTCCTTTCAAATCAAGGGGGTAATGTTGCCATATATAAAATTTTTAGGGGGTAAAAGGTAAAAAAGTTCCCTGATCCCTGAATTAAAGGATCTCATGCTGAGAAAATTCTCTGCACAGTCAGCACAAGGCTAGTGTGGGCTCATAGCTAGACATAAAGTACTTTGTTAGACTACAACTCCCAAAACACTCCAGTCAGCATAATTGTGTTTGGACCTTGTAATCCTTAAAGCCTGATATTTCTGATGCTCATGTCAGAGAAAATATGTGAATCAGCCCTGAGTATAAAGACACAAAGATTCCAGGTTCCCATCCAAACAAATCTACCAGGAGTAAGCATGTTTTTAAAAAACAGAAAAAGTAGCCCTGTATTATGTGGACTTCTTGTAAAAAGATACTTGTGCAGATGAAAATATATCTGTGCAAAGGAAAATGACAAATATAATGTGTAAACTATGACAAAGCAAAGGGATTGTAGGAGTAAACTGGGCAGCGAAGCGATAAAATAGGTGGCAATAAAATAGAAGTCAACTCTTTTGACTTCTGCATCCAAGGAAACAAGAAATTATCCATCAACATTTGTCCTAGTCTGAATTTAAGAAATTGATTGTGTTCAATTGATCACAGTTATTAAGTTGACAGTGGTTTCCCCCCCCCCAAAAAACAAAACTTTTGTAGCGGTTTTGAAACATACGGTAAGCTTCATTCATTTCTTAGCTATGTGAAGGAGCCTGTTATTCCATACTAGTTTGCACTAGTATTTTATTATTCTAAAATATGTAACTACAATTTTTCCAAATACACTCAGACTGATGTTGATCATATATAAAAGAATTAATATGAAAAAGACAAAGAAGAAAAAGTTCAACATCAACAATGTACAATTAAAATGTACTTTAAAACAGTCTAACATTCCACAAGCCATTCAGTTGCAAAACATGAACAGAGAAAGAATCTTGCCTTCAAAGGGAAGAAATTACAGAGAAGACACAGTGATTTCCAAAATTCTGTGAGGCATTTATACATAGATACAATAGTCCTATCCAGGCATTACAGTACAGTGGTGCCTCGCATTACGACGTTAATTTGTTCCAGCGAAATCGCTGTAGAACGAAAACGTAATGCGAAAATAAAAAGCCCATTGAAACGCATTGAAACCCCTTCAATGTGTTCCAATGGGCTGGAAACTCCCCATCCAGTGAAGATCCTCCATAGGGCGGCCATTTTCGGTGCCTGTGCAGCGAGGAATCCGTCCCAGAAAACAGTGGGGAGCCATTTTATTTACCCGGTGGCCATTTTGAAACCGCCGATCAGCTGTCCGAAAATTGTCGGCTTTTGCGAAGAATCAGTTCCCAAAGCAGGGAACCGATCATCGCAAAGTGAAAAACCCCTATTCAGACCATCGTTTTGTGATCGCAAAAAGATCATCATAATGCAAATTCGTCATAATGCGGAGCACATTTAAGAGGTAGGGTCTATGTAAGCTCATCATCCTTCTGTTGTCTCCAGCCCCACTGTCCCAGTTCACAATCCTGCTGAGTTCAGTGACAAAGTCTGAAAGGAAGTTCAGATTCACCAGAACATACTGTAAGCACACTCTTTTGTATACTCTGGGATCCTATGGGGTTTCCAATCATATGAATTGTTTCATTAATATTCAAGTGAATAAAATCCTCCTTCAGACTTCCATGCTTAACCTGGGAATGCTGAGGACTCTGAGGGGAGGGTCATGATGCCTAGCCTTGTTGCTTTTCATGAATGTATAGACTCTGTCCAGGTATGATAACCTAAACACAGCTTGTAAGATTACAACATGGTGGTAACCATCGCTTCATTCCATCCTTTGATCTTATATTTTGGGGACTATCTCCTCTTGTTTATAATAAATTAGCAACAAAATATAAAGCATTATTAATTATTATTGCAATAATTATTAATCACAAGAAGTACTTACAGTTGCATGACGAGATACAAGTGGCTTGGACTCTCATAGATGTCTTCAAGTGCAACAATATTTTCATGCTTGATCCTGAAAATTTTTATCAAAAGTAATACCATAAAGTTAAGTTCAGCAGCCTCTGGAAATACTTTCATACAAAAATAGCATAATTGATTTACACAGACTATCAAAGTCTTGACAATACAGTTAGTCCAAAAGGAATCTGTGTGAGACCTCTTGCTGTAGTGACATTTAAACGGTTCAGTGCCTCTAGTTCTGCCAGTCCTTCTAGGTATGTTATGATAAACTACATGCAATAGTTTACAAGCTTCATCTATACTGCATAATGCAACCATCTAGTGCACTTTGGTGGTTGGGCCTGTAGCGGTCTTGGTTGTAATTTTCTTCAACTGTGCATTTTCTATGCATGGGGCTCTAAACCTTAGTTATTCATGAATATCACAGTCTCATTTTTCATGTGGAGAAAAAAAGGGCCACAATCTATGACAGTTTTATGTTCAAAGTACTGAAGCAAAGGAGAAGAACCAGACCTAAGTGTTTTTATCAGCAGAAAAACTAAGATCTATTTAACCTAAGCAAGTTGATGTTTAACTGAATGGCTACTTTGGTTTACCTATCATCACAGGATGTATAACTATATTGTGAAATTCTTGGCAATCAGATTGAATGGGAGACAGTACTGTAACCAAATTCTACAACAGACTTCATGAATATGAATAATTCATCCAAAGAAGACAGAATGTCAACAAATAATGTTTCCATGTGTGGGGAAATGTAGCTGTCACTTATGAGGCAGAATCATGCACTGGTGAAGTTAACTATTCAAGGAGCTGATTTCAGATTTACTTAGTTACAACTACAAGCCAGCCTTTTAAAAACAAGAATAACACAAAAGCAACAGATTGGGTCCCATAAAGAAGGTGCTATCTATAATCAGCTAATGGAACAGGTTCACATTTCCCTGTGGTTGCACAGTATTTCCTAATCTGGTTGATGTGGTGACTGTACCAGCTGCTTCCTTATTGCACACATTGAGGCACAGCATTTTGCCGCATGGATGATGTTTTGCTTGAGGAGTCAGAAAGGAACAAGAAGGTATAAAATTGGTGCAGACCTACTAGGAAACTTTTTAGAAATTGGTGTGATATATCAATAACAAAATGTCCTTATAATATGAGCAGTACAGAAAAACAAGGTCAACAGCTGCCACAATGCCAGACTGGCAGGAGAAAAGACATTACTTGCAGGGGACATGCAAGTATCTTCCTTTTGAGATTGCTGAAAGGAGTGCTTTGAACCTAGCTAGGGTGAAAGCTTTGTGATATTTCTGATTTTTAAATGATGATGGTAGTCTGCTAGACTAAAGATTTTACAACGGTTTATTCAAGTGGCCAGTACTAGTCAGTACTGTATTCAACAAAGGGCCATATAATACAGTGTTCGTTTCTATATGCCAGTGGTTCCCAACTTTGGGTCCCTAGATTTTCTTGAACTAAATACCCCAGCCATCTTGGCTATCACTGCTAGTGGTGAAGGCTTCTTAAGAGTTGCAGTCCAAGAATATCTGGGTACCCAAGTTTGGGAACCACTGCTATATGCCACCATACTGGATACAACAGTATGAAAGGATTATATAAAATAACAATTTTCTTCTATAAACATGAACTATTTATTACCTGGATCATGCAAATGCATGTGGAAGAAACTGAACATTTGTTATAAATATAATTTAAATCATCTAGCAAATATTCCCACTGTTTTAACACAAATATTGCATTTTAATAGCAGGAACAAACACATAGCCACCAACTGATCAATGGCACAGACCTACACATTTCAGAGTCTTTGCTGTTTAGGTTATGATTTTTTATAAGAGAGATACAGAAACTGCCATCGAATTAGCTCCTCAAGGGCAAATTCTCTCTGGGATTATTGCTTAAAGCAGTTCCAAACAATATGCAGTGTGCATAATTAATTTTCATTAACCCCAAATCGAGAAATCATTTAGCTGTAAGGAAAGGAATATTAATTAAGGCAAACTCGCAAAATAGCTTAAGAGAAGGGAGGACATCACACAGCAAACTGTAAAAAGTTATGAACAATAGATTCTGCAGTAAATAGGCAAAAATCAGTAAAGAGGAAATTCTGAAATTGTTTAGCTGAGCTTCTCTAACTAGCGAGCTGAAAGCTAAATAAATATATAGAAAAAGATGATCTGGTCATTTTGTGGCAATCATTCTCATTATGTGATCAGGGAGACAGGCACAAAAATAAATAGGGAGAAATGAAGAACTACATAATAAACTATATTACCATATTTTTCCATGTATAAGATGCACCCCACTTTTTTAACCCAAAATTTCTTTCCTCCCAAGAAAGTGGAGGGAGAAAGCAGGGATCAAAGCACTTTGATCCCTCCCCCCTCCTTACTACCATGTATAAAATGACCCTCAATTTTTTCTCTAATTATTTTAGGAAAAAGTGTCATTTTATACACATGAAAATACAGTATATGCCCAGATGTATTATAGGGCCTGATCACACGAGCCAAAAAGAACCCATTTTATCAATTCTTTTTATACCACTGCTGTATTAAATTGCAGTCATGTGATATATATACCAGCGGTAATGTTCCTATTTAACATTACCAGTTCACTTCTTTCTATTTGAGCCATTATAGCAGGCTGCACTGCTCTTAATTTTGTATGGATTAATTTTATCTACTGTTTCTTGGGGCAATCAGGCCCCACTTTTTTTTAATAACAAAAGTGATACATCAACAGTGCCATAAAAGAGAGGTCCCAGCTTTCCCTCCTCCCCTTTTCCCTTCCCTCCTTTATGTACTCACTTTATCTGACCCCTTTGCAACAGTTAAAAAAAGAGAGAGGAAAAACAGGAAATGCCTCAGTTCAAGCCCTCTTTCAAAGGAGGATGGTGAGACTGTCTCCTTCAAGCTGTCTCCTGCTGTTTTTGCCGGAAGTTGTTACTTGGCTATCTAAGGGATCACCTGTCTCCTTATACGCGAACCTGCTCACCCCAAGAGCAGTCCTACCTGCACCATTTTGGGTCCCTTTCAGTAGCTACTCTTTTTGAGGGGTAGGTAGAAACATTCAATTTTTGTTTAATTCAAGCATGTGTGATTTCTGCCATCGAACCAAAGCAACTGTCTGGCTGTCCCCTGAAGAAGCTGCTTAACTAAAAACTTTTCAAAGCTCTCCTTTTCTACTGTCTGTTTTCCGTTTTGTTGGATTTTGTTCATTGTTCACTATGTAATAATTTTATATTTATCTGTGTATTTTATGTGTCTTTTATTCATGTTGTAAGCTGCCTAGAGTGGTCATGACTGACCAGATAGACGGGATATAAGTAAGTAAGTAAGTAAGTAAGTAAGTAAGTAAGTAAGTAAGTAAGTAAGTAAGTAAGTAAGTAAGTAAGTAAGTAAGTAAGTAAGTAAGTAAGTAAGTAAGTAAGTAAGCAATAATAATAATAATTTAGAGGGCAAGGGAGGGATTATGTTTTGGATTTCTTTTTAAATGCTGACATCAGTGATGCTTTGAAGAAAATTAAAGTGCTGTTAAAGCACTGCTGTCGCACTGCACCAGTTAGCAACCATTAGAAACAAATGGGATTTTTTTTGTTTCCTTTTCCCTTCAAAGGCAAGGAAGATTTAAAGGGAAAACCTCCCACTTCTCAAGCGAAGCAATGCACATATAGTGACTCCTTTTCAAGCGAAGCAATGCACATATAGTGACTCATTTTTTTCTAGAATGTTGTATCTCATTAGTTTAAGATATTCAGAATGAAAGGAAACTATTAAACAAACATTACAATAAACAAGGGCATTGCATGCAACACTGGAATCAATGCACACTGGGCCCTTTGGTAAAATCATCTTTTTTCTCTCTGATATGCCAGAAACCTTGTAGGCAGTTATGACTGGATCAATATATTTTATATTTACCAGACCTCTATGAATGACATTTGACAAACTGCAACAGGGATGTAAGTTATTAATTTAGCAATAGCATACAAAGAAGTGATAATCCTAAACTGTAAAGCTAAGGATATTGTAGCTGGCTGGATACCTCAGTGTTTTAGATATTTGACTGTGGAGCCAGATGTTGGGAGTTCAATTCCCCACTATGCCTCCTGGGAGTAGAGTCAGCCTGTGTGGCCTTGGGCAAGCTGTACAGTCCAAGGACACCCTCAGAAGAAGGGAATGGTAAACCACTTCTGAGTATTCCTTACCTGGAAAACCTGAAAAGGGTCACCATAAGTCAGAATTGACGTGATAGCACAGGATTATTATTATTAAGGATAGTCTTAAAGAGAAAGAAGTATTTCAGTCTCTTGATCACAACATGCTCAGATCTAAGGTTGTGTTGTTCACCTATTAAGGCTCTAAAAAGTTTTCCATTAGTGGTTGGCTGCCTTGGTGGGGGTCTTAAACAGATTGTTGTGCCTTACTGCTTTGAATGTGTTTTGATATTGTTTTCTTTACATTTCTTTTAGTGTGGCATTTGTTTGACACTTTTTAGTATAATTAATATTTTTAATTTTAAATATTGTTTTTAAATTATGTATGTCACTTTGGGTCCTTTTTAAGGGGAAAGGCTGGGCAAAGTATTTTAAATATATAAATATAGAAATACAGTATATAGAAATATTTGAAAAATGAACTTGTGCTTTGCAACATATCATGTTAGTAGCCAGCCAAGTATCTATATTAATTTCCCTGGAATGTATTGTTTTCTTTCTTTTTAAAGAAGTGGCATCTCACATAAAAATGAGCTACTGGGGAGGAGATAGCAATTTCAATTACAGTATGTTTGTTTTTTAATTGGCATGGAGAAGGCTTACTGTTAGTGTTCTACAGTCACTACTGTGAAATTGCAGTTTATTTTTAAAATTTTATCTCTATGATCTTTTCCTGTTGACTATTTTCTTTAAAATTAAATATATAAAAAGCATGTTTGTTCAAAGCAGAGGCATCACCACTGAAAACAAACTTATAGAAAGCACATTTCTAGGGGGAAAAAGTCTAAACAGAAACTATCTAATGTGAAACA